CCTAGGAGCCCAGATCAGAGAAGCTGGGAGCCTAGAAGCTCGGAGCATAGAAGCTTGGAGCCTAGAAGCTCGGAGCATAGAAACTTGGAGCCTAGAAGCTCGGAGCAGAGGAGATCTGAGCAGCAGGGCATCCACAAGAGCAGCTCAGATAAGCAGAACGCAGAAGAGATACGTAATTATGAGAAACAGGTCCAAACGCTGAAGGACGAGATCGCTGCTCTGTGTGCTGAAAAATCTGCTCTCCAAGGAAGGTCTGAGACGTTCTCACTTACATTTTTATTTAAGTTCCTTTTGTTAGTGATAAAAGCCTGGCTTGGAAAACAAAGTAAAAAGATATACTTGAACCCAAACCCCAACAATATGGGAAGCTTTGAATTGTAAAGGGTTTTTTCTAACTGCACCCTTCCAGGGTGAGAAAACATTTCCTGGATTGCCAGTACTTGGGCACTAATTGATTTGGAGCTGACGATGAGGCTTAAGGAATGCAAGTGAGACATATGAGAAAGGATAATTCTTTGGCTTGAAACCCGATTTGTGTGGGGCTATAATGCAAGAGGTGGTACCTGTGTTGAAAGAATGTTCCATGACATGAGGGTCTCTGAGGCCTAAGAGTCCTTCCCTCCAGGGATGACCAGCTGTGGTTCTACTGTAGGGCAGGGGTGTCAAACTGGTGGCCCACGGGCCACATGCAGCCCTCGAGGTAATTTTTTGTGGCCCACGATGCTCTGAAATAAAATGAAAATAGAAAAAATTGTTATGAAGAAAATAGCGCTTAGGGGAGATCGAGGCAATACCGTACACACAATTCCCTCGTTAACCCTTTAACTACTGAAGACAAGTATACAAAAAATTACCTCGAGGGTCACATGCGGCCCGCGGGCCGCCAGTTTGGCACCCCTGCCATAGGGTATTTCCTTTTTATAGCTCCCTTTATTTGATGGCTGTGTAGGTAAGTGTTCTTGTGAAATTCCTTTCTACTGATGGACTGAACGTTAAGACAGGTTATTCAGTTAGTGTTAAGCAAGCACCAAGTAGGATGTTTCTCAGAGTCACTGCATTTTCCTTGTTCTAACCCCCGGCCCCTTGTTCTAACCCTCCTTATCCCCCCCATGCCCTATCAAAGCCACCCCCCGTCCCCATTTCCCTAAATGTCACCTTAGTCTTTCGTTTTGGGGAATCACTCCGCCAGTGTTGTGCTGGTACTGCCTTGTTCTGGCTCCTAAGAATGGATTCTGTGCATTTTTGCCTAACTCCGAATTTAGTGACATCAATCACATTGATAGCTTGAAATTGGCCATGGATGGAGTATTTGTTGCACCGTGGAATTGGCAAATGCTATAAATGAGGTCTTCCCCTCGCCTCCCACTTAGAGTTCATGTTGCACTACCTTTTGCCCCATAGTTTCTTCTGCAAAACTTCCCTTTTGGGGGGCCCATTTCCTTTGGGCCAGCTAGTCTGATCATTTAGGTTGTACTTGGTAGTCACATATGTTTCTTTCTTTCTTTTTTTTTAAAAGATGTTATTGGGGAATTCGGGAGGGGAACAGTGCTGGGGAATCTGGGGAAGGGGAACAGACAAGTTGCTGTCCTTTTGTTCTTCAGTCTAGTTGTGGAGGATGTCGCTTCACTGGCCCATGTTGGTATTATCGTTGCGCTCTTCTCGGGTGAGGCAGATGGGTCGCCGGCCTCTGGACGGCTTCTCACAGAGGCTCTTGGCAGCTCATGCCGGCTGCCAGCCACTCACGCTGGCGCGGCCACACACGCAGCCCACTGCAGCAGGGGCTGCAGCCTATGCCATCGCTGGTGATTCTCGGCAGCCCAGCTTCAGGTTGAGCTGCTGTTCACCATCTTAGCTGTAGAGGGCACAGCATCACTGGCCCTCATATGGGATCCGAACCGGGGCCCTGCTGCTCAGAGCTGGCATCCCAAGCCAGCTGTTAACCAACGCGCCACTTGGGCTGCCTGGTAGTCACATATATTTCACTGATATGGTGCGTTGCAATCTCAATCCACATGATTAGCTTACCTGATCTTCGAACCTCCATCCCCGACTCAAAATAGAGCAAAAATTATGTGGGTGAAACTGAGGCTCTGGAGAGAAATGATTGCAGACGCTTCCACTGCTGTGACGTGGTGAAGCTGGGACTGCGACATAGACCTTCTTTCTCATTGTTCAGTGTTCATCTCATTTTATACCATAAGCTCATGTGGTGTAAGCTTTTGTACCATAATGCTTACGAAGGTGTTGGGGTATGAAATACTGAAAATCTGACCTCTTCTTTAACTCTGGCTCCTGCTAGCTGTGCACCTCTAGGACAGCCAATTAACTCTTCTGAGGTTCAAGTTCCTCATCTGTAAAATGGGCAACAATCAACGTAGGCCACACAGGGCTGCTTAAAGGATAAGTCGAGGTGCTCAATGAGTGAAAGTGCTTTATCAATTCTAATTCATCATGCACATAAATATCATGTCTCCTTTCATGGTTGTGGTCCCATTTGAGGCCCCCTGGAGTCGCAGTGCCTCTGATAGGCCTAGTGAGCAGGTCATGGAGGCAGCTGCTTTCCCCGCTTTCAGGGGCTTATGGCTCCTTAGTATCATTTGCAGTTTATGTGGGGAGAAGAAGCAGAGTCCAGAAAGTGATCAGGGCGCTTCCCTGCTGATTTTTGCTTACCAACAGGTCCACCAGGAACCGGTCTCCTAGCCCTGTCCCTCGTAGCCGCAGCCGTAGCCGCAGCCGCAGCCGCAGCCGCAGCCGCAGCCGCAGCCAGAGCCGCAGCCGCAGCCCCAGACACAGCCGGTCAGGCAGCCCCTCCACCGCAATGGTGAAGATCAGGACCCCTTCTCCGAATCGCGCCCGACTGTCCAGTGTGGCGCGCAAGGCTGCCCTCCTGTCTCGGTTCAACAATGCCTATTCCCAGGCCCGCCTGGATGCCCAGTCCCTGTTACGGCGCTGCATCAACGAAGCTGAGACCGTGCAGCAGATCATTTACATCGCCACAGTGGTATGTGACACTCCAGCTGCGCTCCAGAGGTCCTTTGGGTGCAGCGGAGGCACAAGTTTTGGTTAACAGTACAGCTTAAAAGGACTGGTAGAGCCTGAGGTCTGGCAAGAGGGTGGGATTTCCCTCCCTCTCTCCCTCCCTCCCTTCCTCCCTTTCTTCCTTCCCTCCATTGCAAGTGTTTAGGGTGAACCATTTTCCACAATCAATAACTATTCATATATATTAATATTGACACTTACCAGACATTTGTTGAAGTATTCATAGCTCTAGGACTATCTCAAATGGGTACATACTAAGTTGATTTGTACTGAATCGTCTAAATGGGCACAGGTATACCAGTGGATATATTACTGCTAGTGGCTATCATTTGATTGTTTTCCTTCCAATCTTAGAAAAATCTGAAGGCTGTCATTGTGTTAACTCTTCCGTTTTTTTAACTAAGAATAGTTACTAAAGCTGCCAACATATCAGCTACTTGAGCATGGCAGATTAAAAAGTGCTCATATATAATCCTAAATCCCAAAGCAAATGCATTTGTTCCTTGAGTACCATATTGAGATACTGAGTTCATTATGAGGACAGTTAAATGTTAGAAAAACAAAACAGTACATTGGTGTGGGAGCAGAATTATCAGAATCTACTGAACTTGATGCTGTATTTATTCATTTATGTCAGAGGTCAGCAAATGAGGACCTGTGGGCCATACCTGTCCCTGGCCTGTATTTCTAAGAGAAATACCACCTGAGAGTTAAGAGTATAAGAACGGTTTTATATTTTAAAGGGTAGTAAAAAAAAAAAAAGTGAGAAAGACACTATGTGACCCGCCTCCCCCCCCAAAGCCTAAAATATATACTACCTGGTTCTTTACAGAAAAAGTTTGCACACTCCTGGTTTATATAATTAAGAATCACTTTCTGACTTGGTTAAAGTTCTACGAGCACAGAGGCCATGTGTTTCATGTATACCTAAATTTTCCCACTGCCGACTATATAACAGGCATTTCATACGTAATTCTTGAATTAATTATATGCCAGATAACATGCCAGACACCTGATGTGTGTCTATGTACTGCATAAGCCCTAGACTGATAATTTTCTCTCATTTCTTGCCCAGTAATATGGTATTACTGTGGGATCATAGCAACAACTAGCACCTTTTCAGTATTTATGTAACCATAGATGATTTATTTCCTCGAACTTCTGTACCGCTTCCTGCTTCTTGCGCTCAGGATTACCAGAACGATGGTCCAGTGTCTTGAAATTAATGAACGTAGATAGTCATATATGTATTCATTTCAAAATTGAGATGTGTCTGTTCTCCCAGGTTAAAAATAGTTTTGACCAACTGTGTTTAGTTATTAGAAGATCCATGTGATGTTGAATTTTTGATGGGCATCCTTTCTTCATTTCTTGCTCTGGGAATCTTTGCCCCCCTCCTCTCACCAAATACATTTGTTGGAATTTTTATGTGCAGGAGGCATTCCATGTAGCTAAAATAGCATTCAGACATTTCAAGACCCGTGTGAGGAAATCATTGACATCGTCTTATGGGAGGTCGAATGACTTTGAGGATGCTGTCTCGGATTATATTATTTGTCATCTTGATCTGTATGATTCCCAAAGCAGTGTAAACGTAAGTGTTGGGTCTCTTACTGGGGCTGGTTTGCTGCTGCTGTTGAATATTAATAACTCAGAAATCCATTCATTGCTTAGTATTGCTTCTCTGTAATAGAAGAGCAGAAATGAGCACCATCCAATTTACTTTGTAGAACCAGTTATTATTGGCTGTTTCTTTCTTAGACATTTTATGGGGAAAAGTATTCTGAATTTTATAGTTCTATTCTTTCAATAGGCTCTGAAGACTGGAAGACAGAATATCATGGTACTTAAGAGAAATGATTCTGGGAAAGATAGGTGCGGATTTGCGTCCTGGCTGTGCCACTTACTAGCTGTGTGACCGTGCACATTTACTTAACCTCTCTGTGCTTCAGTTTTGTAATCTACATGAGAGCAGCAATGGTCATGACTCCATAGAGTTCTTGAGAGGATTAAATGAAAGAAAGAGGGTAATTTGCTTAGCACAAGGCTTGGCACAGGGTAGACCCTCAATAAAAGCAAGCCATTATTATTATTATTATTAATTATTATTATTATTATTATAGATTATGAACAAGTGAGAGTTCTGTGTTGGCATATCACATGACTTGCCCAGATAAGGAAAGAATAAATAAAAGCTACTAAGGTTTTTTTTGAGACTCTCTTGAGGCCTTTAGTATGTCATTTGTGCTCTGTCATCTCTCCTCCTTCCTTATCACAGTGAGGCTTTCTCCTTTTAGCACATGTACTCCTTCTTTACTTGTTTATATTCACATGCTCTTTTCCCACCTCCCATCAAGCCATAATGTCCTTAGGATTGTCAGTTTCATGTCACAGGTTGGTAACAAGGTGTGCCATCTTATTGTTTTTCAGGATGTGATCCGAGCCATGAATGTCAACCCCAAGATTTCATTCCCTCCGGAAGTTGACTTTTGCCTCCTCAGTAACTTCATCCAAGAGATATGCTGCATTGCCTTTGCAATGCAGACTCTAGAACCACCCTTAGATATTGCATTTGGAGCTGATGGAGAAATTTTTAATGATTCCATGTAAGAGGCATAGTACAAGCTAAGGGATTCTCTATAAATAAGTGACCCTGTCTCTATTCCCTGGGAACAATTTAGGGAAAAGAACTCTGGGTGGGGAAAGCAGCAGACACTACCTGATTTCCGGGCCCCACCATGTGCTTCCCTGTACTATTGGGCAGGGCCCTCTCCTGGGGTCATTTTCTTCCTCAGTCAAATGTGATTCAGGAGGGATAATATGATTTCCATTTAACATATTGGTCTTGGGGAGAGCTAATGAATACCTGGAGCCTCTCTGGAACTTTTTAAAAGAAAGGTGCTATATAAATACAAGTGTGTATTACTTTTTATTGTTTAAAAAATTCATTTCTTCTTGAGGTATCATTGACATATAATATCATATTAGTTTTAGGTATACAACATAATGATGTGATAGTTTTATATATTATGACATTGATGACCACGGTAAGTCTAGTTAACATCTGTCACCATACATAGCAACAAAAACTTTTTTCTTGTGATGAGAACTTTTAAAATCTACTCTCTTAGCAACTTTCAATATGAAATACAGTATTATTAACTATAGTCATTATTGCTGCACATTGCATCCCTATGACTTATTTACTTTATAGCTGAAAGTTTGTACCTTTTGACCTCCTTAACCAATTTCACCCATCCCCCATGCCTCTGGCAACCACCAATCTGTTCTCTGTTTTTATGACCTTGGTTTTTGTTCGTTTGTTTTTTAGATTTCACATATAAGTGAGATTATATGGTATTTATCTTTCTCTGTTTTATAACTCTTAGTATAATAACCTCTAGGTCCATCCATGTTGTCACAAATGGCAAGATTTCATTATTTTTTATGGCTAAATAATTTTCCATTTTATATATATGTATATATATATATATATATCACATCTTCTTTATTCATTCATCCATCTTAGGTTGTTTCCATATCTTGGTTGTTGTAAATAATGCTGCAATGAATATAGGGGTGCATATATCTTTTTGAATTAGAATTCTGGGTTTCTTTGGATAAATACCCAGAAGTGGAGTTGCTGGGTCATAAGGTAGTTCTATTTTTAATTTTTCGAGGAACCTTCATAATGTTTTCCATAGTGGCTGCACCAATTTACATTCCCACCAACAGTGTACAAGGGTTTCCTTTTTCCCACTTCCTCATCAATACATATTATTTCCTGTCTTTTTGATAATAGCCATTTTAACAGGTGTGAGGTTGTGGCTTTGATTTACATTTCACTGATGGTTAGTATGTTGAGCACCTCTTCATGTACCTGTTGGCCAACTGTATGCCTTCTTTGGAAAAAATGTCAATTCAGATTCTCTGCCCATTTTTTAATCAGATTGTTTTTGTTTTTTTTTGTTTTGTTTTGTCTTTCCTTTTGTTGGTTTTTATTGCATTATTTAGGACAGGTTTTTGAAAATGTGGTATCTGGGTCACCTGCATCAGAATTCCTCAAGATATTTGTTAGACGTGCAGATTCCTGGATCACATCCCGTGACATTTTATGCAGTGGGCCTGGGGTCGGGCGGAGGAATCTGTAATTTAACAAGCACCCAGATATTCCTTATGCACACTAACATTTGAAAATCTCTGCTCTAGACTCTTTCATCTAGGAACAGTAGATTTCTACCAACTTTTACATGGTAAATGTTCCCTTTATAAATTAGAAGAAGTAAATTAGGTTAGACCATTTTACTCAAATTTTGTGAGATATTATGATATAGTTGGAGATTTTCCTGGAGGAGGCCAAGCTAATGGTTAAGGATAGAGGCTCTGGGGTCAAGCTGCCTGGGTTCCAATCCTGGCTCCACCACTAAGTAGCTGTACAATCTTGGGCAGCTAAATTTTTACTTAATTTTTCTGTTCCTTAGTTTCTTCTCTGTCAAATGGGGGCAATAATAATAATAATACCTATTTCCTAAAGCTATAGAAATTTCGTTGAGATCATTCAGATAAAGTACTTAAGGACGCTGCTTAGCATGTATTGTGCTCAGGAAATGTTAGTTCTGGGTCTTTGTTCAGGTTGTAGAGTTACGGGTTGGTGGCAGCCCCATATCCTTACCAGCTTGTAGATGATGGAGACCATAAAGCTTTCTTTTGCTTATAAAAACACAACGATGGCATTTCCAATTGCCTTATAGCATGTCCTAGAGTCTTGCCATCTCCCAGCTTCTAGTTTCTTTCAGATGGCTGCTCCCAGCGTGCGTCCCCTCGCGGAAGAGCTGAGTATTAGAGCATTACACTGCAGTTGGATCTGTTTGATTCTCTTACAGAACATAATATCTGCATCCCTCTTTTTAAATTCCTTTTTCCTTAGAGGAATTATGGTCTCACTCGGAAATACTCACCCATTTTACTTTTGGAATCTGCACACTTCCCAGCCCTCTGGCACGCCTCCTGCTCACATGCCTTTAATCAGAGGGAACGTGCAGCCTCGTGGGGCTCTCTGTGGCCTGGGCTCCTGGTCGGCTGTGGAGTGGAAACTGCAGTTCCTAGTAATGATCACATTTGGTGCTGCTGCTAGGACTTCACAAAACAAGTCTAATCCTTTTTTTTTTATTTTGGCAGCCTTTCACACATTTAAAAGCAATTACTCTAATTCTCCTCTTTCTGACCTCATGGCTTCAGACCTCATGGCTTCAGGTTTTTTTCCATATGAACGGGGTTTGAGACTTCTTGACAAATGAATGGGTGGGTTTCCTTGGCCTGTCCTCCATGCTCTTCTGAGCATTCCTTCTTAAGAAAGTGTCCACACTGAGTGGAGTCCCTGGTTTGAAATGACCAGCCTAGGGAGACTAACATGCTTTCCATTCTTATTCTCTGTTAATTCAGCTAATTTGTAATAGTTTTTTCTTTTTTTCCAGCCATATAACACTGTTCACTCATTTTGAGTTCAACTGAAATCTGTTATTATATTTTACTTTTGCTGTGATTAAAGCCATTTATCACTTTTATCTGTGCAGTTAAATGCTTTTTAAACTCAATTGCAGAGCTCCATATCTACAGTACAATGTATCTACAGTACATTGGATCTTATTAGATTCAGCTTATTGTTTCAACAGGTTAAGCTATTTTTTGATACTGTCATGTGGTTTTTTCCTACCCACTCCCCACCTTTGAACTATTTTTCTATATTTTATGCAAATCATTGCTGAATATGCTGATTTATCACAGGATTGAGAGAGAGAGAGAGAGCTCTTTGCGCCTTCATTCATGTTCTCATTGACCCATTAATTACCCCACGTTGGATATGATCATTGAACCAGTTTCCAACCCCCCTACTTAAGTTAATCACCCACTTATACTGCTCTTATTTTGTCTGCAAATGTAGCATGAAGAATCTTGTAGGAAGCCTATTGGACTTCACATGGCCTCTAGCATTTCCCTGACTTGCAACTCTTGTTATCTGGGAGGAGAAGGGCCAGATTAGTCTGACGTGACTTGTTCTCAGTGAGTTCCTGTTGGGTCCTTGTTATTACTGGTTCCTATTTAAGAGCCTACAACCAACTTTTTAATAACAGAATCAGGCTCCATGTTTATCTAGATCTGAGCTTAACCGAAATGGAAATTTACACTGATGTCCCCCCCCCGCCCAGTTATGCCACATAATTGCTTAACTTCTCTTTCTCCTTATTTTGTGTGTTTAAAATAGGTACCGGCGCAGCTATGACTCCGATTTCACTGCTCCCTTGGTCTTCTATCATGTGTGGCCTGCTCTCATAGAGAATGACACTGTCATCATGAAGGGAGAAGCTGTCACCAAGAGAGGGGCTTTTGTACGGATGCCTTGCATAGTGACAATTCATCCCAAGTGTTTGATTCACAAGTTCGAGAACATTTATAAACCCAGAGATTCTATAAAAGAAGTTCATAAAGAATTGTTTGATAAGATTTCATACAAAGGAGAGGAAAGGGACTAGCAGGGAAAGAACAAATTCTTCTCTTTGATGCATTCATGATTTTTCATCATTTCCTGGCAGTAATTTCTTTGCCTGTTGCTTTGTTTATTTATAAGATGGAACTAGTCATATTTACCTCCTCCATCTTAGAAATATTATGCTATTATAAGCATAAAGCCCTGTTAAGTCATCTTATTGGAGGCCTTCTGTAACTCTAAGCATTTGAAAGTAATTAACTTTCAGGAAACAGTTGCCAAATTTTTACTGACAATTCTCCATTTTGGGAAACAATGAATGTGCCCTGTTGTTCTCTCCTTGGTATGATGTGTAGAGAGGGGAAGGATGGGGAAAAAGAGGGCCGAGGAGTGGGGGAGAGAGGCGCCCATCAGTTTTGGAAGGGTGCTTCCTGTATACATTGGTTGTAAAACATGTTAAATAATGGGGCAGCCTTCAAAATAGTCTTAGGTATGCAAGTGTGTGAGCATGTGTTGTGGTGGGGATTGGGTATTGGAACTGGTGGCCACAAGTGCTTGCATATTCCATATAGTGAACATTATGGAGTTTTGACCCTGCCATTCCTAGTGTTAAGTAAATTCTGAAGTGAAGCTCCTCAGTGCAGAGTAAAGCCACCATCTGGTGGTCTCAGTTCCTATTCTCTTTGATCTAGAGAACAGGGGACATGTATCATGGCAGCTTTTCACCCCTATAGTGGAGAAGGGGTGTAGTGTATTTTAAAAGAATTTGCAGCTTAAGGAGCCTGCAGCAGCTAACTGTATCTCAATGAAATATTTTGTGCTATGGAAGTTGAACCCATAGAAATTGGGTTGTGTTGATCTGACAACTACACATTGTCTGCAATGAATAAGCTCATAAAACATGCTTCTTGCCCTGACAATAATCACCCTCTGTTAAGCAATGCTTATTGCAGACTGTCTGCAGTGCAATCTGGAAGGGAGGGAGAGGGAATAGCGACTGTTCTTATGTTCTACATCAAATAGCAATTGCCTTTTCATTTCCATCTCTCTCATCAAGCATATCACCCACATTTGCCCAAGCTTAAATTCCTGAAACAAAATGAGAATACCCTAAAAGGAAGAACTTGGAAAATGAAAGGGTTGAATGAAGGGAAGTTTTTAAAAAGGATTTTACTATAGTGAATACAGTTTTCTTTTTAGTCATTAATTTAGTTGGAGAGTAGATGGGCAGCAGTGGTGATTCACTCACTCATTCATTAATTCATTTCATCCAACAATAGTTATTTATTCAATAGTTATTTATGACCCAAGCACTGCGTTTAGGGGCTGAGGATCCAGCAATGAACAAAACAGACAAACCCCTGCCCACGGGGAGCTTACATTCTCCAACACTTGCAAACTTAACATAATTCCTAACAATTTATTCATAAAAACAAAATTCTACTAGCACCAAGAGTTTGAATATCCTCAAGTTCACTGTAATGGGATTTCTTTTTTGGAAATACTCTAAAGGTATTGTCAAATACTGGGCAACTCTAGGAAATGAAAGGAGTGTACCTCATGCTGATGAGCAGTAATGGGCAAGTGTAATCATATCAGCAGAGCCTCTCGGCCTGTGGGATATGCATACTGTTTTAAGCCATGTGTGCTTTCACGGACAATTGACTGTTTCTTTCTCTCTCTTCTTAGTGGAATTCGGTACGGTCCATAACTCGATGTCGAAGCAGAAGTTTAAGTCCCATCTGCCTCCGTAGCCATATTGGTTTAAGCACGGTACATATCTAATCATTTTTACACAAACTCATCCTACAGTTGACATTTTTTTCTTCACCAGTCGCCTATAAAAGAGGTGATTATAAGTCTATAGGTAGAAAGAGAACCTGTTGGAATCATCCAAAACTGATTTTTGTACTATCTTGGGAGAAGGAATTTATCATTCTAGAAAGAAGGAAGTCGAGGCAGTTTTTTTCTGACTTAGTTGAAAGACTAATAGACTTTACTTATTTCATGGTTTTATGAATAAAAATGGGGTATTAGGTATCAGTCTTCTGAACAGAGAATGGGACACCTTGGTCAGCTGACCTCGGCACAGGTCCCAGCTTCTTCTGGATCTTACTGTATGATTTGGAGAAATTGCTCAAATGCTCTGGGTTTTGATATTGTATAAAGGGCATTGCAGGGATTAACTTTCCTCCCAAGTTCAAAGTTGGAAGAATAAGATTATTCTTTTTGCTTAGAAGGATTACTAATAGTCTGTCAAATAAAAAAATAATAGTAAAAGTATCTCTGAAAATTAAAAATATTATTGATGATTCACCACTGTTCGTTTACTCAAAACATAATATTTAATCAATGCCTTTTGAATACAGGGCTGGACCAAGATATGTGGACACCAGATAGGCTAACAAAGTACTGTTCCTTCCAATAAAAAATTTAAAATATTTGTTCAATCTTGTTTTAGGGAGACTGATGGAGAAGGACAGCCACATCTGGCAATGCTCCACTTCTCTGAAATTATCTTTAGCAATGCAGCTCTAACCTCAAACTTCTAAACCCCCTCAGCAAAACAAAAACAAAACCCCCTGCAGTTAATAAGGCTTTTCTTATTGAGTTTAGTGAACATCTGTTGGTACTCTAGCATGCACCTTTATCAAACTTTTTTTTTCTTTCCTGTATCTGATGAACACTAGATTTACGGGGGATCAGGACACAAAAATGATTAAAACATGGTCTCTTTCCTGAATGGGTTTCAATATAGGAAATTCAATATGATGTAAGCAAAGTAACTGAGTGTGGTATATGATACAGTCTCTAAAAGAGGCACAAAGAAGCCCAGAGGAGGCAGAGATTCCTTCTGGATTTGGTAGTGAGGAAGGGGTTCAGTTTGATCTGGCAGAATTTCAATGAGCTGGGAAATTGAGGAGGAAAATCCAGATAAAGGAAATGGCCTGACAATGGAAAAATTCATGTATCTGACACAGTTATTTTGCTTTTAGAGATTTTAATATAACTTACTTGTCTTTATTCATAAATAAGCATTTGCAGTAGGTAAAAGCAAAAGGATAGGGCATTTAGTGGACTGATGAATAAAAAGGAAATCTCGAGAGTTTTATACTGGAAGATCACAATTCTCATTCTAAGAGGAAATGGCATGTCAGAAGAAAGAGCAATTTAGACCCTATTGTGCTTACAACCATGGAGAATTTCACCTCTGGATGCGCCCTGGAAGGCTATCAGTGGGCGCTGTCCCTCTGTCATAAACCCCTCCACGTGTCTGAACCACCTCCTCTCTCCCACTTTGTTCTTAGGGAGAACAAAGTAATCTAAGCTTTAGATGAGAATAAGATATATTCTCAAAGGTGAAACTGCTACCAAAATTCTGTCCCTTCCCACAATCCTCCTCTTACAACAAGACTGGTACACCTGCCAAACGAAAGACAAATATTTTTGGTTAGTCTGTTTTTTTGGTGCATTTGAGGTCTTGCATCCCGAACAGCTTCCATCTTTGTTAGTGTCTGTTTATCTGAAGTGTTTGAGAGCTCCGAGCAAGAATGATGCCTGTAGTCAGTTATTTCTGAGCCGTAACAGGTTTCTAGATACAGGTGGTTGGCTTTCGCTAAGTGAAAGCAAAGGTGAGGTTTGAACAATGACTCTTTTCTGGCTTCCCAGTGACCCCCTTTAATAAGCCAGCATTTTGGACACATGAGATAATTCATATAAAGGATCTATCAGACAGTATTTGATCATTTTAGCTTTAATTAGTTAATAATAGTAATAGTTTTCTGGAAAGCTTTTAATTCAGTATGGCCACTGAGCATCCAATCTCAAAGTCTTTAGCAGTCATTAAACAACAATAACAGGGCTGGCCAAGTGGAGCGTTGGTTAAGAGCTGGCTTGGGACGCCAGCTCTGAGCAGCAGGGCCCCGGTTCGGATCCCACATGAGGGCCAATGACGCTGTGCCCTCTACAGCTAAGATGGTGAACAACAGCTTGACCTGAACAACAGTTGGGCTGCTGTGAGTTGCTGGCGATGGCATAGGCTGTAGCCCCTGCTGCAGTGGGCTGCCGTGGGCTGCCATGGGCTACCGTGTGTAGCCAGCAGCCAGCGTGAGCGGCCAGCAGCCACCGTGAGAGGCCGTCCAGAGGCCGGTGACCGATCTGCCTCACCCGGGAAGAGCGCAATGATAATACCAACATGGGCCAGTGAAGCGACGTCCTCCACAACTAGACTGAAGAACAAAAAGACAGCAACTTGTTTGATCCCCTTCCCCGATTCCCCAACGCTGTTCCCCTCCCCAAATTCCCCAATAAAATCTAAACAAAAACAAAAACAAAACAACAATAACAAAAGTAACAAAAACTAGGCCACTGAACCCAGATTGTAATTAATATAATTTAAACTAAATTAAGTGCCCATTTACTTCAGGAAGTTAAAGAGGAATCACAGTGGTCAACCTTGGTGGGGGGAAAAAAGCATAGTTCTAAAGCGTCTCAGAACAACTAGTTAGCTGGTTTTTAGGAAACAAGTGCCAAAAGGATTCACCTATCGAGTTCCATCTATGGTGTGACTCACATTACACGTTTATATTTTCCAGATATCTCAAAGTCGAAGTCCTTCTCCAGTAAGATATGAATTGCCAAGTAAGTGGGCCGATTTAGATGGAACAATTTTCTGCATTTTAATGCCCTTTTTAGTACTCAGCATTGTGAAGCAAAATGAATGTTTTGCTTTCTAGGGAACAGCTTTTACCTTTCATTTCTGGGTGGATGGTACCTAAGCAGGTGCCCTGAGTGACATAGGAGGAGCTTAAAATGGAGAGATTTTATTGATGTAAACCTAGATTAACTACCCTGCTTTCATTTAGGTTCTCCCCCAAGAAGTTCTAAGAGAGTGACCATAGTAATGAACTGTTGATTTTTCTCCTTAGGGTTTTAAAGCCACCAGACATGTTCCTTTGCCACCACACATCTGCAACAGCCAAGCTCCTCAGCGCCTCCACCTGCCTGCAGTGTCTGCCTCAGACCTCGCTTAAGATACTGTGAAAAGGCAATTCTGTGTACCACTCCACAAATATAGAGTTAAATGTTTTGGCTTAACGCATTTGTAACTTCAGATATACTGCATTTTATTTCATGTTATAGTTACAAATTCCATTAATTTGATAAAAACTCTTGCCTAGGTGTTTAGGATCATATTCATTTGAAGCAGAGTCTATTATGAAGGTTCAGGATTTTCATCCTGAAGTACTAGGCTCTTTAATAGGAACTACATGAACAAAAAAGGAAAACCATTACCATACTGAGTCCAAAAGACAGGAGGAGTCGTTTTAGTTTACAAATTGATCATAAGTATTATAATTGTTTGAAAACAATATTGCTGTTTTCATTTTCTTTTAAGGTTTGGAAGGCAGCCCTAATCTCAGGTTGGGAAACTCCTAGCAGTTGCATTGACTTCAGGCTAAATGTAGATGGTGATGATTTAAGAGACTATATAGTTATTGGTTTGCTTTTCTTTTTCTACTTTGAGTACCCAGTTTGGTTTAACTGAGTGCTGTATGTCAAAGCTACTTAAGATAATTTTCTTGCTTAATAAATGCAGAGCAATGATTTGGATAGAAGCCAGCTTTGAGATAAATGTTAATTACCTAGTGTTTATCTCCTGGGAATGTTTCACATGGTTTTAATGTATGTGTTATATAGAAAAGCTACATGGGAGCAGATCCAAGATGGTGGAGTACATCAATGCTGTGCTTGCTTCATTCCGTGAGAACATCAAAATTACACCTAAAATATAGAACAGTCAACCTGGAGAATCATCTGAAGTCTAGTTAAACAGAAGTTGTGTAACTAAGGATATAAAGGAGAAGCCATGTAGAGACTGGTAGGAGGGGCAGAGACATGAAACAGCCTGGCCCCAAACCTCCTTGGGGTGGTCGAACACTGGGAGGGATATCTCGGCCACAGAGGTTCCACCTGGAGGACTAAGGGACCCCAGCCCCATACCAGGCTCCCCAGCCCAGAGTACTGGTGCCGGGAAAAGAGCCCTGACAACACGGGCTGGGAAAAACGGGGGATTCTGACCGTCTGGGATGAAAGTCTGTGGGAAACCCAGAGGTCCTCTTAAAAGGCCCATGCACAGACTCACTTGCTTGCAGGCACTCAATCTGGGCTCTGGTGGAGGCACAGTGACTCCAGGGGCATCAGTGATATACAGGGAAAGACTGAATTGTGTGGCTCCTGGGTGAGGACTGGAGGGATAATTGCCATTTCCCTTGTGTGGGGTCTTCTTCCCAAGCAGCTAGCAGGCAGCTTCTTTTCTGTGTTGAGCCCTCCCCCATGCCTATGGCCAAATCTGAATCTGAATTGGTCTGGTGATCTCTGTTGCTCCACCCTGGTGACTCACTGAGACCCTGCCACACCAAACTCCCTACCACATGAGGCTTTATCAGTGGCTGAACCTTAGGGAAGCGAGCAGCTGGACACAGGCCTCAGAGTGTCCTGGCTTTTTCCAGAGCGACCCCATACTTGGTACTGTTGGCAGCCACCCTCAGTTTGCAGGGTGGCCTCTCCCACACACCTCCAGGTCCAGCACAGGTCACAACTCATCATGGATCACTTTGTAGCTGCTCCCAGAAAGTACCCTGCTGGTCATAGGGAGTGGCTGATCCCACTTCTGGGTGTTTATCTGAATAAACCAAAAAAGTTACTTTGAAGGAACACGTGCATCCATGTATTTATTATAGTATTGTTCATAATGGCCAAGATGTGGAGGCAGCCTGGGTGTCTGTTGATAGATGGAAGGTGTCAACAAATTCAAATTGATTAGTAGTAAAATGTCAAAATTGAAGAATATTACCATTTTATAAACCTACTAAAAATAGCAAGAACCTTTTTGTAATTGGAGCACAGGAAGGAAAGGAGACAGACAATGTGACAGAAAAACATTTGAAGAAATAAAGGCTAAAATATTTCCAAATATGATGGAAAATATCAAACACGTCCTAAAGCTCAAAGATAACTGAGAAGGTTGAATAGAAAATACGCCGTATACAACCATATCATAGTCAAATTCCTGAAAACCAATAATAAAGAAGAAAATCTCAAAAGTACGTAGACAAAAAAGGGGCAGATTTTATGGAGAAGAACAACGTAACAGGAAAGGCTGAATTCCAATCCAAGCACTGCATCCAGAAAACAATGGAATGATGTTTTTGTTTTTTTTTTTAAGATTTTTATTGGGGAATTGGGGGGATGGGAACAGTGCTGGGGAATTGGGGGAAGGGGAACAGACAAGTTGCTGTCGTTTTGTTCTTCAATCTAGTCGTGGAGGATGTTGCTTCACTGGCCCAAGTTGGCACCATCATTGCGCTCTTCCTGGCCGAGGCAGATCAGTCGCCGGCTTCTGGATGGCTGCTCATTGCGGCTGCTGGCCGCTTATGCTGGCTGTTGGCTACATACGGTATCCCATGGCAATCCACTGCAGCAGGGGCTGCAGCCCACGCTGTTACCGGTGACTCAAGGCAGCCCAGCTCCAGGTTGAGCTGTTGTTCAGCATCTTAGCTGTGGAGGGCAGTGTCACTGGCCCTCATATGTGGGATCTGAACCGGGCCCTCTGGCATCCCAAGCCAGTTCTTAACCATTGTGCCACTTGGCCGGCCTGAGGAATGATGTTTTTAAAGTGCTGAAAGGAAACGCTCTTGACCTAGAATTCTATGTCTAGTTAAAGTATCCTTGAAAAAGGAAAAGAAAATGAAGGCCGTGTTTTATTGGTCAAAGAAAGCATTGATCAAAGAAGAAATCACAAGGGAAATGGGAACTTATTTTGAAATGAATGGTAAGGAACACATATATAAAAATTTGTGGGTATAGATAAAACTACATTTAAAAGGAAATTTATAGCATTGAAAGCTTTCTGAGAAAAGAAGAAAAGTTTAAATTAATGGTGTACCTACCACCTTACAAAGCTTGAAAATGAAAATTAAAGTAGAAAACAAGAAGAAATAAAAAGTAGAAGTCTATGAATTAGTGAATCGAGAAATAGAGAAAATTATTGAAGCCAAAATTTGATTCTTGGAAAAATATAATAAAATCGATAATCCTTTGATCAAGAAATAAAAGGGTTGTAATACAAATGACCAATATCAAGAATTGCACAGGGGATATCACTAGAGGCTTTAAAATGATGATTAAAAAAATAATCAATTGAACACTTAGAAAAATGGGTCAATTCCTTGTATGAGAAAACATACCTAAACTGACCCAGTAAGAAACACATTTGAATGGCTTTATATTTGTTAAAGAAAGTGAATTTGAAATAAAAAGCCTTCCCAGAAAAACATGGACAGGTAACTTCACAAGTTAACTCTACCAAATATTTAAGGGAAAAATGAAGAAATGATATTAATCATATATATTTCAGAAAATAGAAGAGGAAGGTTATTTAGCAGCTCATTTCTTGAAGGCAGCATAACCCTGATATCAAAACCTGAAAAAGACATTACAAGAAAAGGGAATTGCAGACCAATATCCCTCATGATCACAGGAACAAATATCATTGATAAAATATTCACAAAACAAAGAACAATATTTGAAAATAATAATATGGCCTGACCAAATGTGAGTCATCCTAGGAATGCAAGGTTGGTGTAACATTAAAAAATCATTCAACATAAATTGTCACAATCAGATTAAAATTGAAAATGGACATGATAATGTTAAAAGATGGACAAAAGTTATAGGACAAAATTCAATACCTATTCATGACAAAACATCTCAGCTAATTAGGAGTAGAACGAAGCTTCCTCAACCTGATAGAAACAGCTCTGAAATACCTTCAGGTGATTATTATACTTGATGAGATATTGAACATGTTTACCGTAGAGTTGTGAGCAAGGCAGTGAAACATCTTAGTATGTTTCCTCACATTTTTCTGGACATTTCAAGCCAGTAAAATAAGGCAAGTAAGAAAGATTATATAGGAAGAAATAAAATGGCCTTTATGGGGACCCGTGCATGGAGTCCATGTTGGCCCCAGAGTGGCTGGGTGCAGTGAGGGGGCACCATGGCAGAGCTGCAGCAGCTTCGGGTGTAGGAGGCAGTGGACTCCATGGTGAAGAGTCTACAGAGAGAGAGAGAACATCCAGAAGATGCAGGGCCTCATGTTCCCATGCAGCGCTGGCTGCTGTGAAGACAGCCAAGTGACCATGCTGTCGGTGCACCAGTGCACTGAGCAACGCAATGCGCCTCTGGCTGAAGCCCAGGCCCTGGTGAACAGCGAGCTGGAGAAGTGCCAGCACCGCCTGGCCTGGTGCACCATGCATTGCAACAACAAAGGTAAAGATTCAATAGATGCCGGGAGTAAAGAGCTTCAGGTGACGTGGCAGCTGGAGAGTTGTGTGACTAAGTGTGTGGATGACCACATGAACCTCATTCTAACCATGACCTAGAACATGAAGGAGTCTCTCTCATCCATCCACTCAGAAACAGAAGTCTTTGTCATTGGCCATCAGGGCTGAAGGCAGGAATCTATTTAAGAAGAATGAGAATTTCGGCCTTTAAAGCAAATTATGAGTGAAAAAATTAAGGATGGCAGCAAATTTAAGGCATATGTCACTTGCCTGTAGACACTGGTTCTTTTATGTTTTAATCGTAGAAAATGAAATGGAAAAAAACGGTTTAGAATTTGGGTCAGAGAGTTTTTGAGAGCCTCAATTTCTTGTGGCAAGTGCTTATCCTGGCAGTAGCCATCTCCCTTGTACCAACTCAGAGCATCAGGTACCAGATTCTTCTTAGTCCACAGGTACCAACAGGCTGACAGGTTCCTCTAACCTGCCAATGATCTGCTGGAGTGTGAGGAGAGGTGTTTCTGTTTGTTGCCAACCTCCTGTTTACCAGAAGCATCACCACACCGTTTTCCACAAGCTGTAAAACAAAGTACGTGAGGTCATTAATTTAAAGGGGAAGAAAGGTTTCTGGGTCTTTTGTTTTGTTTGGTTTTGTCTGACATACAAGGGCATGAAGTTGATTTAAGATGTGGAGTTGGGAGAAGTAGTTTAGATAAGAACTTTGAAATGTTCCTTTGGATAACCATTTCTGGCCATTAGACGTGGGTGTACATTTCTTAAAATTCTCACACATCATGTCTTTCAGCCTGGAGGTCTCAAAAACACGAGAGGTGATGTCACGCTGGGTATGGGAAGCAGACCTTCCCTTTCACTGGCTGCCATGATGGGCCCCGAGGCTGTTCGCAGCACAGAGACAGGACAATCTTGCAGTGACATTCTTCCTTGAAGGGAGAAAGGATTTTGATTGTGCTATATTATACCAGTACCCAGGAAAGAACAGTGAAAGGAACTGTTGGCTACTTAATGAGTTATAAAGTACCAAATTTGAAAAAATCCTGGTTTTCAGGAATGAAATCTATATATCCAGCATTGTTTACTTAGCCCCCTGAAATAACATAGCCCTACTGAGACAATCCCTTGGCAACAAGGAAGGTCAAAGGAGAAAAAGTCAGCAGCTCAGGGTGAGCTGTGGCTCCTTTAGAGCAAAAGAGGGGCAGCCCCCGATTACCAAATACTACTTTTGCTTGGGGCCTTTGCACACGTAGTGTTCCTGCTCCAGCTCTGGCACTTGACTGTTTTGGTAAGGACCTTGTTGTCTTTTTACCAGTTTATTACTTGAAGTGATAATATAACCTGTCTGCTGTTTCAGGACTGTGATATATTTTTCTAGTGGTCTTGTTTTTAAAAATAAATAGGTTTAATTTTTTCTCCAAAAATAAATTAATAAATACATAGCCTTTATGTGACCTTTACATAATTGCATAGATAAACTACATTTATTAGTCCTGCAAGAGCTAATAAATGAACCTAACCAGGTAATACAATATAAGGTAAGTATACCAAAATCAATTGTGTTTTTATATATTAGGAAAAATATAGTTTTTATGTACTAGGAAAAATGGAAAAATAATTTAAAGTTAATATTAAATTTTATATTAATAATATTATTATTTAAAATGTCTGTTACCCCAATAAATTTAATAAAAATTAAAATAAAAGAATAGAAAAAAATGCCGTAAAAATAAAAATACTTAGAAATAAATCTGCCAAAATCTATAAAAGATATTCTTGACATAGATTAAAGAAGAAATAAAGAAATGGAAAGATAAACTATGTTCATAGATTGGAAGATTCCATATTGCTAAAATAGGTATTTTCCCCAAATTAATCTGTAGATTAACCATACCTCAATCATGACCCCAGAAGCCTTCTTTCGATAAATTGACAAGTGATTCTAAAATGAACATCTAATTGCAAAGACCTTAGAGTAGCAAAAACAATTTGGAAAAGAAGAAAAATGTTGGACAACTTATACAACCTAATTT